TAAGAACTAAAAATAAAAATTGCATAGATTTAAGTAGCAACAATCTATAACTATCATCTACATAAGTAAAAACCTGCCACAGGAAAAAATACTAATATAGAAGTAATAAAAAAGGAAATAAAAAGAAATAAACAAAAACAAAAAAGAAAAGGGTTGCCCTTTAGCCTGGACCAGAAACAAAAATATTATGTTATAACAATATAAGCATATCTCATATAATTTTTAACTGAACTCTATCTTTCAATTAATCTGTTCTGTACTTTAGCCGTATTTTCTAGAGATCAGATACACGTAGTTACTTACGTATAGCACAACAAAGATCTAAACAGACCAATTTGTTACATGGTTGCTTTCTCTATGATAATCCAAAAATGGTAAGAATAAACAAAGATCATCGTTTACAGGGGGAAACCCAATTCCCTATTTTTCAAAAAAAAAAATAGAAAAAAGAGAAAAAAGGAAAAGCTGTAGAACTTTGGTATAGAAAGTTTATTCAGGTAGAACCAAAAATCATAAGCTAGAAGAGGGAGTGTATTGCTACTTAACCCAGTTCAAGTAGTTTAGTAAGTTTATCCACAATATCTCTACAAGTTATCCAGTAGGCCAAGAAAAAACTAAGACCCACTAAGGTCAGCAGCAAAGCTCCAGTAGGCCACTTACAAAACTAGCAGTAATAGTTCAAAGACTGTACTCTGTCTAGTTCAGGACGTTATTCCTCACGCTGTTCAATATTTTTTCCTTGCTGAGTAGTTGAGATTATTTCTTGTAGTATTTTTCTGTTTACTCCATTTCGGTTTTAGTGATCATCGGAAAGAGTTTTGATATGAATTTAATAAACAAATAAATTTAGCTATTTATTCTAATATTATATTTCTTTTTTATATTGCTTTATAGCTTTAAAGTATCTTAAATACTATATATTTGTTATAAATCATCTTTAAAAAAGCAAGTAGCTTTATAATATTATAAACTTATATATTTTTTAAATTATTTTAATTCAAATCAAAATAGAATTTTTTTAATATAAATATTAAAAATAATAACTAATTTTAAACAATTTTGAACAAAACCAAAACTGTCTAATTAAAAATTTTAATTAAACATATTTAGTAATACAAAAGAATTATTCTAATAATTGTTATAAATTGAATTTTTTTTTTTTTTTTTTTCTTTATACAAATGCCATCAGCTGAACTTTTATTAATATTGATAGTGAGTAAATAATACATATTGTGAGAATATAACTAGCTATACGTACAACTTTAGATTATCTAATTTAAGTAATTCGCCTAAAAGTTCTATACTAGCTACTATATCTGCAATCTATTTGAAGATTATCTATTTAAACCTTCTGGTTCTATAACACTTACTTGTGTTCTATCTTTATTTTACTAAAGTGTGCCTAACTCTATGTTACTTCTCTTTTTAGAAGACACTCGAGCTAATATTAGTCCACAAACTTTATAATTCAGAGCCTAGACTCTATCACAAAATACTCTTTCACCAACTCCCTAATCGATGGGTGCTGTAGTACCTAACTATGCTATGCTATTTTCTAATTTAGCTTGCATATACCTTTATTCAATATTCGTACAAACCTAGTTCCTACTGTAGCTTTCTACTAGGTTGGTTATCTGTGCCTCTAGATATCATACGAAATAAACTTTCTTAAATCTAGTTAACATTCAAATTGGTGTTGCCAAAAATCATCTGTGCCTCTAGATATTACACAAAACAGATTCTTCCAAATTTAGTTAGCCACTAAGCCAGATTAGTGTTGTTATATGACCTCATATAACAGACTTATACATACCTATTCTGCTAATCTTTTCATATGCAGGTTTCTTAACAGACTTACTCACATTCTAATCACCAATCTTTTTATATGCAGATTTTTTTCTCCAGATCAAACATTAACTAGTATGACTGTTGAAATTTGTACTACTTTACCTAGCTCAGAATTTCTGCTATGCAGGTCCTCTGTCTGTAAATTCTATCAAGATTTATTTATATAATGTTATGTTCCTCAGGCACTCTGACATACTTCCAATATCTGAATGATATTAGTGCAATATGATTTATAAGGTTACAACCTCCAGAAACGGACAGGATTTATTGTAAGTTGAAGACAGATGTCTAGGTAATTATTCAATTCTGTTGACAGTATGATTTGAACTCTAGACCTCTTGTATAGCAGTTTGACAATCTAACTACTACACTAAGATCACTGAACCTTTTATAAATTGAATTTAAATTGCTATAACTATAGTAAATAATATAGTAAATATATAGTATTATAGTCATATTATTTACTATAGTTATAGCAAGTTATATAAACTCAGTTTATGACAATTATTAGAATTGTTCTTTTGCATTTTAGATATGTTTAATTGACAACACTAAGTTAAAAATAATTTAACTACTAGTACAAATTAAAAAATACAATTACAGAAAATAATGACAATTTTTTTTTTTTTAGAAATCTTATGATTAGATTTTAAATTCCATTACACCTATACCAAATAAAGTTTGAAATTTATTGTTACACATCTTACTAAATATAAACAGAAATTTTTGGCACTCTTACTTCTCTAAATGGCTTCACTTGACGAACGTCACTTCTTGGTTAAGTTTTTGTAAAAATGTGAAAATAACGAGGTTTCAAAGCTACAAAAAATAACTGGGTTCCCTACTAAAACATTATATAGATAGAGTGCTCAACTTGAACAAACAGGTGATATAAAAATAAACAAACCTTCAGGCCGTCCAAAACTTCTTAGCTTTGAACAAAAAAAAAAACTTAAAGAAATGGTAAAAAAAAGAAGATTAGCAACGAGCAAAAAGTTAGCAGAAACCTTGAATAATATATACCTCAGTCTTAATATTGCCCCTAGAACAGTTCGTGAGAACCTTCAAAATATTGGTTACAAGGTAGTGGTTCCCCATGCAGTTCCTCTTCTCAAGAAAGAGGCTATGATTCGTCAAGTCCTTTGGGCGTGCAGATATAGAAAAAGACCATGGAATAAAGCTATTTTCTCTGATGAAGCAACCTTTCAAATGTTTAGAAATACTGTTAAGGTTCGTTACAAGAGTGGTGAACTAGTCCCAACTCGAGTAGTCGTAAAACACCCATATAAAGTTCATGTATGGGGAGCATTTTATGCAAAAGGAACTATTGGATTTCATGCGTTTACTGGTATTATGAATGTTAAATGATATCGTGAAATTTTGACAAACCATTTATTTGATCAAGCGAACATGGCCTTGGGAGACAGGTGGACCTTTCAACAGGATAATGATCCTAAGCATACTGCTAAACTTACGAAGGTTTTGTTGGAAGATCAATGTCCGCATGTTCTTAACTGGCCCTCGTCTTCCTCTGACCTCAATCCAATTGAAAATCTCTGGGCTATTATGAAGCTTAGGGTCGAGAGGAAGGTAAACTTAGCAATTCATAAAAAAAAAACCGTCTTCCAAGAGTTTTTTAAATCATTAATCGAAGAAGAATGGTATAAAATAGATGAGGGTCTTTGTTCTAAATTAGTTAAGACCATGCCGGAACAGCTTAAATTAGTTATTGATAAAGGTGGGCATACAATTAATTATTAGAAGTTCAAATATATGTTTTAGGCTCGCTTTTGTTAAAATTTTATAAAATTTAAATAAAAGTTTATTGAACTGCGCCTTTTCACGTAATTGTCATTATTTTCCGCCACTACTGTAATTGGTTTTTTTTTTTTATTTTTAGCTTTTATTAGCTTCTATTAACTTTATTCATAAATTATTTTTAATAGAGTAATAGAGCAATATTAATAGAGCTATTCTTCATTCGCCTCAATAGATAAATGTACTAACTCTGAGTGTAGATACACCAAAAAATAAAATCTTTTTAAAAATTAACACATTAAGATATCTCAATAATTACCAATAATTATCTAATAAAATTTAGATTTACTATTACAATTTTTGCTACGTATAATTTTACGTATAAATCTCTGCACTTGTTTTTGTACTACACTATATATATATGTAAATTGTCTAAAAAAGTTAATAAAAACATCTTATTTAATAATTTCAACTAAATAACCGTGTAACAAAGTTAAATCAATTGACCGATGTTAATACATCCCGAAAATTGGAAAATTGAATTTTGATTTGTTAAATCTGAACCATCTGACCTCTAAATTCTATAAATGCTATGATAACGATGAGAAATCCTTCTTTTGGAAGGGAAGTAATTAATAGAAAATTTCTTTACGATTCATATTGTATATTATATTTATTGGTTCAAATTAGATTATTGTTTCATATTTTTCAACAATGGCAACGCCTCAAACTCCAAACACTAACCCGTCGAGGGTTATACCTTTAACGTGCTCTGGGCACACTCGTCCTGTTGTGCATTTACAGTTCTCACCCATCACCGATGGCACTTATTATTTAATAAGTGCTTGTAAAGGTACTCGTATAATTCCTCGTTGTTTCTTGTTCTCATAAGACTAAGAAAAAAAAAAAATTAACCCAAGCATTCCGTGTGGTTTTAGATGGTAACCCTATGCTAAGAGATGGTCCTACTGGAGATTGGATAGGTACTTTTATGGGCCATAAAGGAGCAGTATGGAGTGCTAAATTGAGCAAGGACGCTTCTAAAGCTGTTACAGCTTCTGCTGATTTTACTGCGTATGCAATCATTAATATTGATTTATATTGATTCAATCCTATTCGACACACTCTAATTATATCAATTCGATATCGTGGGTATAGAAAAGTATGGGACACCTATACTGGTGACGTGCAATATTCTTTCACCCATGGACACATTGTACGTTCAGCTGACATTTCTTATGATGGAACGCGCATTATCTCTGGTGGTCAAGAAAAGAAATTAAGAATATTTGATTTAAATAAACCAGAAAATGCAGTTGTAGAAGTAGAGGGACATGAATCAACTATTAAAAGCGTTATTTGGGATGGTGATAGAAATGTTGTATTGAGTGCTGGTGATGACAAAGAGATTCGGTGGGTTAACTATTAATAAATTTATTAAAAATGCTTATTAGAGTCACTATATGATATTTAGATGTGTTCTCTTATTTGTTAGTATTTGGGACCTTCGTACCTTTAATCAAATTAACACTTTTAAAGCTGAACATCCTATTACAAGTATGGAACTTTCAGCTGATGGCAAATATATTACGAGTACAGCTGGCAAGGTTGTTTACTTTTTGGATGCTTTAACGTATTTATTTATTTTAATTTATTATTATTATTTTATATAATAATCTTGATAAATAATTAATTTTAAAAATCTTTTTTTTGATTAGTTATCAAGTTTCTAAATCTACTGCAACAGCATTTGATGTTTCTGCAGTATCTTTACATCCTGATCATAAAAGATTTGTAGCCGGCGGAAGTAGCGATTTATGCGTGAGAATATATGATTTTGAGAGTGGTAAAGAACTTGGTTCGTATTAATTATAATACTTGTATAATTCACCTTTTGATGCCGTAAAGTCTTATTAATCGATTTTTGTTTAGAGTTTTATAAGGGCCATCATGGTCCGATTCATGCAGTGAGTTACAGTCCCGATGGTGAAATTTATGCTACTGGTTCAGGTATGTATTTTAAATTAATTAAGCATTAAACTTTGTTTTTATGATTTTACATTATTGATGTGGTTGTACAATCTTGCGTTTTATCTTAATTAGAGGATGGTACCATAAGGCTGTGGCAGGTAAGATCCATTTTTAAAATATAAATAGGAAAAGTATTTTTTTGGCAATTTAGTGATATCATCCTCTTTGATAGACAACACCTGGAAAGAGTTATGGTCTTTGGCAAAATAAAGCGTCTAAAGATGAAAAAGAGAACGATGTGGATGGAATACCGACAGAATAACATTATTAATGAAAAAAATCTTATAAATTAAATTGGAATCGTTTAATAATTATTATCTGGCGGTTGCATTTGTGCTACGAGTGAAACAATTAATTAATTTGTGTATAATCACTTGTCTATACATCATTCATTGCAGTTTTCTTAACCAAAGATTTTTAAATGTGAATTCATCTAAAAAAAAAAAAAAAAAAAAGAGCAAATCAACATTTAGATTATAAACAAAGTCTTATAAATTATAAAACAGATAATATTAAAATTAATTGTTTGTAAAAAATGAAATGTAAATTCACATTGAAGAAATTATGCAATATATATTTACTATATATTTAAATAAAATCAACATGTTAATAAAAACTAACTATAAAAACTTTTATAATTAATTGTTACAGTAGTATGTTAGATATAGAATAATTTTTTAATTATAGTATTAAAGTTGTTTACAGTATGTCTGTTCTGTCTATTATAGTAAATAAATTTAGACTATTAACTTTTAATGATGTAATTATATATTGACTGACGTGCACGTGATATCACGGTATCTAAAGTCTACGGACGCAAAAGTTTCAATTTTGATACATCTGCTTTTTGATAGATAACAAATACGATTATATTTTTAATAAAAATTTCAAGAATTAGAGTGAAGATATCACGATACCACCCGATCAAATTTGATTAATTTTTTTTTGTTTGGATTCTACGGATCTCTGGAATTCAAATAAAAAAAATTTCATCGAATTTGATCAGGTGGTTGTCGAGATATCTTCGCTCAAAGTTTGCAAACAATTCAAACTGCCTATTAAAATAGATTTTTTTAAAATTTGAGCGAAGATATCTCGACAACCACCCGATCGAATTTGATGAATCTTTTTTTGTTTGAATTCTATGGATCTGTAGAATTCAAAAAAAAAAAAAAATTTTATCGAATTTGGTCGGGTGGTTTGTCGAGATATCTTTGCTCAGAGTTAGTAAACAATTCAAAACGCAAAATAGAAGCTGCATTAAATTTTTTTAAAACTTTGAGCGAAGATATCACAACAACAACTTAATAAAAATCGGTAAAAATTTTTTTATTCTGCTGCTAGGAATAGTTATAATTAATTTAAAAAAAACAATTTAATTAAAATTTATAAAAAATTTATTTACTTTCTATTAAAATATAGAATTTAAATAAAAAATTTTTATCAAATTTGATTAAGTAGTAGTTAAGATATCTTTATTCAAAATTTTTAAAAACTCAAAAATTAAAATTGTATAAAATTTTTTTCTAAATTTAGTATAAAAAATATTACTTTAATAAGTATAGCTAAATAAATAGAAATTATTAAAATAATTTACTACTATTATAATAATAAACTTATGAGCAATGATGTGAAGCAATACAAGAAGAGCTCAAACATATGATAAATTGTTTTCTAGAGAGGTTTTCTAAGTGAGTTGCTATAGATAGAATCCTAAAAAGTAATAATTCAGATTTGGTTTTAGTAAACCAAAAAAATAAAATATTAAAAGAAGTCAAAAAGTATTTCAATAGTCAATTCTGCAAAAGAAATACTCAGGATGTGAATATATCAAAAAGATGAAAAGAAGTTTATAATTCTCTAAAAAAAATTAATAACAGAATTTATGACAATTTAAAAGATAAAATCTCTGAAGAGAAATATGCAGAAATACTTAGAAAAATAAAACCTAAGTTAGCATTAGGTCTTTCTGATATAAGCTATTTTCTAATTAAAAAAACAGACCTAATAACATGAAATATCTTCATATATTTAGCTAATCTTTGTATCAAGAAATAAATTTTTTTTATCAAATAGAAACTAAACTAGTTATATTCAATTTTTTTAAAAAAAGACTAGAATTATAATCTGTCTAATATATATTTAATTGTCTTAATTGAAATATTTTACAAAATAGTAATAAGAGTTCTAATAGATAGACTAGACAAAATATTAGTTAAACATAGTTATATTGAATAATTTTTTAGAAGATACAAGACAAAAAAAGAATAAACTATAGATCCTGTTTCAAGATATATAAAAAGCTTTTAATTCTGTAAACTTAGAAATATTTAAAAAAGCATTAAAAAGAATTAAACTATCAGAGAATATAACAAGGTTTATATTAAACCTATACAAAAGAAAAAGGATCAAAGTTATCATAAGCTATAGTTTAACTAATAAGTTTGAAGCAGAAAACAGATTTGATCAGAAGAAATAATATTATTTCTAGTTTAGCATATATTTTATGATACTCTCTTATATATAGTAAATGAAGCAGAAGATACAAGATATCAAATAATATTGAACTAGCTAACACTAGTCGAATATATAAAAATCGGCCACTGATTGTTTTGGCTGATTCGACATGAATTCGACTGTCAAAATTAGGGCGATTGAAGGCCGATTTCTATTGGAAATTGACTTATAATCGGTATTTTCGTTAAATTTTAAGTACTGATTTCTAATAAAATTCGGCCTTCAATCGCCCTAAATTCGACAAGTGAATTCATGTTGAATCGGCCAAAACAATCAGTGGCCGA